TCGCCGGCACACTCCCGGCTGCTCCAGATTACGTGCATTTCTCCTCCACCCGGGAAAACGAGGCCCTAAGTGGCCGCCTAGGAATTCCGCCGGAAAGTAGGCCTCTCTTTGTCGGACTCGTTAAATTCGGCCCGGCGAGGTGGGATTTCGCGGGTTTACGAGAAAATCCCCGCGGCGGGCCGAGAAGTAGTCCTGGACATTTCAGCGATCGCTTCGAGGCCGCTCGAAAAGTTCATACTCGTTGAAAATCAAATTTTCGAATTTTTTCCCTTTTTTCAGAGAATGATTATTAGTTTGGAAATTAGAAAAACGCAGAATGAGTAATGGAATTTTTGCAGGAATTTAGGAATTTATAGGTTAAATTTCAGCGATCGCTTCGAGGCCGCTCGAAAAGTTCATACTCGTTGAAAATCAAATTTCCTCATTTTTTTCCTTTTATCAGAGAATGATTATTAGTTTGGAAATTAGAAAAACGCAGAATGAGTAATAGAATTTTTGCAGGAATTTAGGAATTTATAGGTTAAATTTCAGCGATCGCTTCGAGGGCGCCCGAAAAGTTCATACTCGTTGGAAATGAAATTTCCGAATTTTTTCCCTTTTTTCAGAGAATGATTATTAGTTTGGAAATTAGAAAAACGCAGAATGAGCGATGGAATTTTTGTAGGAATTTATAGATTAAATTCTAGCGGTCGTTTTTCTTGCTAAGATTTCCGAAAAAATTGAATCAATTAAGGGTCTCGATTACTTTCCGCATTTCTCAGACGTCACGGCCCATCAATTTGGATTTCGATTCCCCATCGAGAAACCTAGGCACATCGTAACGTTTCATTCGGAAGTGAAAGAAAATGAAAGAAAAATCCCGGGAGCGGAAAGACAAAAAAAGGGGTGAAGGCAGTTGCGTCAAATTCCGGGGCCGAAAGTACGCGGTCGACAATGGAAGCGGCGATTGTTTCTCGAAAGGCATTGAATTACTATCGGCAGTCCCTCGTGCCCGGTTTCGGGTCTTTCTGGTTCAACCTACTGTTCCGATTTCTAGGACGAGTCGATTCTTCACCGCTATATGCGTTACTTTTAAAGAATACCTCGACCGGAAGCGCTTCTGGCACGAGATCGGGCCTTGAAAGGAGAGATTTTCCTTTTTCCGGGAGACTGGCCAATCTTGGTTCCTACTTCGCCCTTTTAGGCATTGATCACCTATCTAATCACCGTGCCCTCCTCGATCGAGGAAATAAACAAAGAAACGCTTCTGAATAATACCGGAAAAAAATTATTCGGCGAGATCGAGACAATTAATCTTAGAATTAATTTTTTTTTCGACGCGAGCTAACATCGGAGAAATTTACAGTTTTCACCTAACCTTGGCTGCGCTTCGGAATAGCAAAAAAAAAAATTATTCGGTAAGTGTGAGGTAATTATCAATCTGAGAATTAATTTTTTCCGACGCAAGATAAGCATCGGAGGAACTTGAAAAGGCTTTACTAAATCAACATCTATTATATCGTAATTTTGTATGGACATACAGTACATGTAAACATGGTATTCTATTCTATCTGAGGATCAGGAGCATAAAGGACTCGTTCTTTATCAGAGCCTTATTATATTTGATCTGGAGGAACCTCCAAGTCATACAATTTAATGCGACGCCGTAAGAAAGGGTTAACACATTAAATTTCAATGATAGCCTAATTCAGTGCTTTCAACCCCTACGACCACAAATCTCCCCTAAACGGCAATTTTCCTTTCCTTTCCACAGAACGTCGCCATATTGAAAAATGTGGAAAACACCATTTACCTAAATTTCCTGCTCATTCATAAAACAGGAAAATCGGCGATAATGAATCATAAAAAAATTTCCGATTTTCTGGGATAATTTTCCTAGGATCTTTTCGACTTGCCCTAAACGTTTGTTAAGATGGAGGATGAAATAATAAGCGATTTCTTTTTTTTTTATCCTTTAGCGGGACAAGGAAAAATGGCAGCCATCGCGGATGTCCTTTGGCGGTACTAAGACTCTTATGCAATTTAATAATAAATCGGCTCGGAGAAGTTGAACAGTTCCTTTGGAGGATGTAAGGGAATAACCCTGAACAGGTGGGGGAGGATCCTGGCTCCTTGTCTTCGTCTTTCCGACCGTACGCCTACGCTTTGTCTATCCATTATGCACGTCATGCCTAATTCATTCCCTCTTCCTTGTCTAGCACGCGCGCCGCCTAATCGTCCGCTCTCCCTCGCTCTCATTGGAGAACCAAGACCGATTCTCCTCGCGATCCTCGACTCGCCGGAAACTCGGAAAGAACCCTCGGCTCCGCTTTTCCTGCGGAGGAAATTTCGCGATTCCGCGTTAATGCGGAATGAGCGGAAAAAGCACGATATCATAAGACGAACCTTCGGCCGGATTTTCAACGAGCGACAAACCATAATCTCCAAAACTGTCCAAAATTTGCAAATCGAAAATGACGAGAAATAAAAATTAGCACTATCTTTTTCTAAATTCACGGGGTAGAAAATTGAGAAAAATGAACCATCTCTCACCGAAATCCTCAAAAAGCGTGAAACCTTAAGGCGAACCTTCGGCCGGATTTTCAAGGAGCGACAAACCATAATCTCCAAAACTGTCAAAAATTTGCAAATCGAAAATGACGAGAAATAAAAATCTGTACTTTTTTATAAGATTCAGAAAAATGAACAATGAAGGGTAGCAATTCAGTCTCGGATTGGAACTGGTTCAGAAAGGGGTAGAAAAATTTGGAAGTACGTCAAGGGGGTGTCAACGAATGGGACTTGATCAAATGGTAAACGGGTGGAAAACAAGCAATTCGAGTCCATGGGGTAGGGGGTCCGGAGGCTGCGGGGGGCGCAAATCTGATAAAATCATCTCGAACCCTCGGAAAGTACCCCATGGTAAATGTATCCGACGCCACCCGCCCTAAGTAACGTAAGTAACGCAAGAGGGTGGTTGTTGCTCCGGTTGTTATTAAATGAGACAGCCTAATAGGCCCATTACGGACCCCCTCGGTCCATTCCCACATAATATAATCCTCACCGCACGCGCACACCCCCATATGCTCACCCTTACGTCCCTTACGGAGTCCCATGTCCTTTACGGGACTCCTCGACCGTAAAAGCGAGAAGTAAACAGAAATTGGGGATGCGATTTACCCGCCAAATTATCGGATCATACGTAAGGAAAAATGACGAGCCAATCGAGGTTTTGCGAAAGGGTTGAGATTTAAGAGGCCATGGGGGAGATAAATGTTAATAAAAGACATGGGATTATAAATGTGAGGAGTAAAGGGGAGAAAGGGATGCGTTTTACATGTCAAATTATCGTGTATAAGGAAAAATGACGAATCAATCGACGCTTTGCGAAAGGGTTGAGATTTAAGAGGCCATGGGGGAGATAAATGTTAATAAAACGCAAGAGTAAAAAAAATGGGATTATAAATGTGAGGAGTAAACGGGAGAAAGGATGCGTTTTACATGTCAAATTATTTAATTATCGTATATAAGCAAAATGACGTTTTGCGAAAGGGTTGAAATTTTAGAGGTGACGGATCGACAGGAATGTCAAAACTGAATGTTAAAGCAAAATAAAAATATTCCAAGTGGATCGGAATATTTTGCAGGAAAACATTCGAGGACACTTGTTAATTATTGAACATGATAATAAATCACTTTTAAGGGTTACTTTCGGAGAACGCGTCGAGGTCCGACGGACTCCCGACGTTGTGGGTGAAATACAGAAATTTGAAAAAAAAAAAAAAGAAAAAGAAAAAGTGGATTCAAACTTCAGCAGTGTCTGTCAAAATGTTATAAAATCCCTCAAGAAGGACTCTACGTCTTGAGATTATTCCAACAAGCCGTCCTAATTATGCCGATCCGACGGCAATCTACCTTCTTCGTGTCGACCTCAAAATAAGCTCAAAAAACTTCAAGAAAATTCCCGACAGATTTTCAACATCATCGCGAAGTAATCCCATAAAATTTCCATTCAACTCTTGAAGCTTTCCGCGCGACTTCACACCATACTTTTAGTGTTAAAAGGCGACATTTAACCATGCAAAGCCTGCAGCTAAAATTCGGCGTTTAACGCTAAACATGAAGTATGAGTTAGGTTAGGTTAGTATTTCTGATACCGAATTGAAAAACCCTTAAAAATTACAGTTACAGGGTCCCAGGATGAAGTCCAGTTTATCTAAAAAAAGTAACCCGTTCCTACGGTGAATTTTAGGAGGAGGGATGTGCAGAAACGCGTCCGACGGGATTTCGACGTCGGTAGAAACGGGTTTTATTAAACGGGTGGTTCCCTCCCATAAGAATCCGCCATTTTACTCCAAGCTCCTTCGAATGCATGGCGGGGTTTTTTGGGGGTAAGTAAAGGGGATTTCGCGGTATTAAGAAGCTGGTTAAGGTCGAGACGAGTACTTTCAACGGTTTTAAGACCCGTCAATGTGAGACGTTTAACCCTTTCCGTAAAATATTCCAAGATGGCGACGTTCGCCAACCCGCACGCGACGGTACCACGACGACATTCATGCTACCAAAACGCGTATACTTCGGAAAAATGTTGCAATGCAGATTAATAGACATGTTGCACTTGGTACCACGTTCGTAGGAGATGGCGAGGTTCGCCGACGGTAATGTAAAAGTGAGGCCACAAAGAATCCTCAAAAATGTAACCCATAGGATGCCAGAGATGGAACACGAGGCCGAAGGGGATATCCAGCACAACAGGGTATGGGCCTCCCCGAAGAGCATGTCGCCGTCGCTCCAGGAAGTACCCATAAAAACCCGAAACTGTCCCTTAGGAATATACAGAGATGCCACCCCTAGGACACTGCAGATCCAGGACGAGGCGGAACGGCGGGGAATCGGTGTACCCAAAGAGCACGTCTACGTCGCTACGAGGAACCCCATGTAGAAATGAGAGCAACCCTTATTAAAATTAGATCCCCAGGACGTTGGAGCTCGAGGTCTCCCCAGAGTATGTAAGGTCCTACCTGGAGAGCATGGCGAGGTCGGCGGAAGCAGGTCCCACGAGAGGGCTGGCAGCGTCGCCGTGGAAGGCGGGCGGGCTGGCAGCGCGGGTGGCGGTGAGGCCGTGTCCAGCGGCGCGAAGGTCGGCGGCCTGAGCGGGCTGAGCAGCCTGGGCGTTGAGTCGGTGAGCGGGCGCAGCGGCGAGCCTCAATCCAGGAGCGGGCGGCGACCCGGGCGAGGAGTCGCGGCGTTCGTTGCGGCGTTCCTCCCTGGTCCCGGAGGGAGCATCGGCGGCGGGCGGGGACTCGGGTCGTCCAAGGATGCTGGATATGCTGAAGGAGGTGTAGTGCGGGTTGCAGGCAGGCCTGAGCACGGCCTTCCCGGCCATGCCGGCGACGTCGAAGGCGAAGGAGTCGTTGAGGGCGCACCCGGGCTTGGGCGGTCGCTCCTGAAGGAGCATATCGGCGGGCGCGGAGCTGCTCCTGCTGGCCTCAAGGTCGAGGTCCTCCTCGGAGACGACGGACACCTCGATCTCGGTCTCGCCCGACATAACCAGGGCGGCCTAGCGCGCCCGCATGGGCGCCCGGGCGCGGCCCGGCGCGTTCACCGGCGGGCCCGCATGTCGGCGTCGCCCACCTCCCCTCCGTCTTCCGCGCCCGGCCGAGCGGGCGGCTTCGCGACGACGAGAGAGAGAGAGAGAGAGAGAGAGAGAGCCACCGACGGCGCGCGATCCCTCCCGGCCGACCCCGCGAGCGAGCGACCGACCGACCGACTGCGGCCGGAGTGCGTCACGCGGGCGCGGGCGCGCGCCCGGATGTGGCCGGGTGCGCGCGCACCGACCCAAGGGGCGTGGCCTGCTCCGAGGGACGGCGCTGCGGGCTCGCGATAGGGCGCCCGGCCGATCGATGCCCAGGGGTAGCTTTCCCGCCCGGCCAATCGCCAGGGCGGCGGGCTTAACTCGCGAGATATACCCCGGGTGGCGGCCCCAAAGCCGTGTGCCACGCCGTGTTACTTATCCATTATAACACTCCAAGATCTTGATTTAAGCCTGCAGCAGCGGTGAGCTTTTAACCAATTAGCCTTTATAGCCGCCGCCCTCCCCGCCCGCGGGGCGCGCGCCGACGTATCCCGCCACCCCGGGCGCGCGCCGCCACTCGCCCCTCCGCTCCCCCCGCCGACCCCACTACCGACCCCTCCATCGCCGTCCTTCTCCGCGGTCGAGATCGCGCCTCGGCGTCCTTGTCTTTTACCGCCCACCTGACCCCGCCCGGCCCCTCCACCCCTCTACCACCCTACACTCACCCCTTACCGCGCCCGCGATACTCACCCGAGTAATCTACCGGTCTCGCCGCTCCTGGGAGCCGCGGAATCGCCCCCCTTCCACTTTTCCGCCCACCCTGGCCGGGCCAAGTTTAGGGGCGCGGGGAGCCTGCCCAGGTTTTACCGCCCGCGGCCGGGCCGTCGCGCTACTCGCGCCCAGGGAACGCCCGGGCGGAAGTGCTCCTGGACGCCCGGGCGATTAGCTCGCCCGCCTAAGTCCCGGTCGCCCGCTCCAAAGTGGGCGGATTTCCGCTCCCGGATTTTCCGACTGCTCCCTGGACGTGATACCTGCGACGTTTCGAGAGCTTTTGCGCGCCTTTTCGAGGGGCGAGGGGAGGGCGGGAACACCCCCCGGGAGGAAATTATACACTGATTAGGAACTGGGGTTGGAAAAATTCCTCAAATCATTGCTGCGCGGAAGGGTTCACTCGGTGCGAAAATTGCACTGATTAGATGCCGAGGTTTGGCAAAATTTCTGAGATCGTTTTCGCGGGGGGTGGAGGTGGGCGGAAATTATGCACTGATTAGGAACTGGGGTTGGCAAAATTCCTCAAATCATTGCTGCGCGGAAGGGTTCACTCGGTGCGAAAATTGCACTGATTAGACGCCGAGGTTTGGCAAAATTTCTGAGATCGTTTTCGCAGGGGGTGGAGGTGGGCGGAAATTATGCACTGATTAGGAACTGGGGTTGGCAAAATTCCTCAAATCATTGTTGCACGGAAGTGAGTCGCGACGATTCTTGAGCTTTTAGCGGGCTTTTTGCGGGAAATGAGGAAAACGATGCAAGTACGACCGGGCAAAATGACAATTTTGCGAGATTACTGTTAATTCTGTTTTTAATTGCCGGGATGTGTAGCAATGAGTGAAGGGATGAAAGTGTCGCGGAAACTTTTCCAAGAGTTCCGCGAGCGGATACGAGAATTTTCCAAAATTATTAACCGGAACCGTCTAACTTGGAAATTATTCAGGTCGCCCCATTTTCCGGCGAAAATCGGATAATAGGGCGCGATTCTAAGGGGTAAACCTTTTTCGGACCATTCGGGCGGGAAACAGTTTTGGGGATGTTTTCTCGGCAGGTGGCACGATTACCGAGTTTACCCAAAACCTGCGGCGATCGGGGGATTAAAGCGTAACCAGAGATTCTGGACCTGCGAAACGTTCAAACGAGGGAAATAAAGTGTCCTGAAAAATCCTGGGCATTTTTTTCTTTTTTAATATTTCCAGGACGACGTCGTGACATAAAGTTCCGAGTGAATATTTCTCGCGTCGGATGTAATTCCTTTTGGAGCGAATAAGGATATAGAATAAGCTTCTTTCTAAGCACTTTCGAGATACGAGAATACCCTCAAGGCACCCTTAAAGTCTTCCAGTTCCACCCTTCGATTTCGTGGATCCGCCTAATTTCCGCCACGAGATCTTCCTAATTTCCTTCCTTTCCCGATTCCTCCTGATCTTTCGGGCCCTAAAACCTACCAAAACCAAGTGACACATCCTCAAAGAAATAAAACCACAAATGCAATCACATAGCATTAGAGTGAAAAAGAAAAATTCCAAACCCCTTGTGAAAGCACCACATCTGAAAGACAAAAAAAAAACAGCTTCAAAGCGTTTGCAAGTGGAATACAAAATGTACAGTAAAATTGCGAGAAATCCTTGGGTGAACACTAACTGAAAAATGAAGTGCAACCTAACTTAAAATGTCTTGTAAAGTACTTGAAAAAAATCTAAATTACGCATATCGGGTTGCAGGGCATTATGGGGGTGATGTTTAAAATAGATCATGAAAACGTAACAATTTGTGGCTCTCAATGGGGGTCCGACGGTGGAGGGAAGAAGGGGGGGCGGGAAGTCTTCCGAAAAATCGGGGAAAGATCGGCGGAATCGGCAGAATCCGTAAAGTCCGAAACGGGCCGCTTCTGCATCCCTAATGCATCCCTGTTGCACCCTCTTGGCCGAGTGCATCTCGGTTGCGGCATAATGGGGACCCCCCGCGGTAGCTTTACCTGCATCATCGACTAATCACATCGGATAATAGGGAACAATGGGCTCCCCGTGAAAAGTGAAGCAGCGGCATACCCACCGCTCACTTCTCTCGAGAGGATATAATCCTCTTAGGCACCCGACACAAAGTAAAATGGGCACCGTCGCCCCCGAGGAAACGGACGCCGCCATTGTGCGACGCCGGCGCATCGGCTGGACGCCAAATTGACCCGAATTTTACAAATCGATGTACTCGAGCATTATTTCCCGATGGAGGTTGCCGAAAAAGTGATTTCAAGGGGCGAGGCAAAAATCTAAGATTAAGGTCTAGAGGGAAAAAAATGAATATCGCGGCGCGTCGCCATTTCGAGTAAATGTGAAATTTACCTGAATTTGCGAAATCGATGTGGAGCATTATTTCCCGATAGAGGTTGCCGAAAAAGTGATTTTAATGAGTGAGGAAGAAATCACGCCAAATAGACCCGAATTTTACAAATCGATGTACTCGAGCATTATTTCCCGATGGAGGTTGCCGAAAAAGTGATTTCAAGGAGCGAGGCAAAAATCTAAGATTAAGGTCTAGAGGGAAAAAAATGAATATCGCGGCGCGCCGCCATTTTGAGTAAATGTTAAATTTACCTGAATTTGCGAAATCAATGTGGAGCATTATTTCTCGATAGAGGTTGCCGAAAAAGTGATTTCAAGGGGCGGGGCAAAAATCTAAGAGGAAGATCTAGAAGGGAAAAAATGAATATCGCGGCGCGTCGCCATTTTGAGTAAATGTGAAATTTACCTGAATTTGCGAAATCAATGTGGAGCATTATTTCTCGATAGAGGTTGCCGAAAAAGTGATTTCAAGGAGCGAGGCAAAAATCTAAGATTAAGGTCTAGAGGGAAAAAAATGAATATCGCGGCGCGCCGCCATTTTGAGTAAATGTTAAATTTACCTGAATTTGCGAAATCAATGTGGAGCATTATTTCTCGATAGAGGTTGCCTAAAAAGTGATTTCAAGGGGCGAGGCAAAAATCTAAGATTAAGGTCTAGAGGGAAAAAAAATGAATATCGCGGCGCGTCGCCATTTCGAGTAAATGTGAAATTTACCTGAATTTGCAAAATCAATGTGGAGCATTATTTCTCGATAGAGGTTGCCTAAAAAGTGATTTAAATAGGCGAGACAAAAATCTAGGGGGAAAAAAGGATTATCGCGACGCGTCGCCATTTTGAACGAATATGAATTTTACCCGAACTTGCAAAATCGATGCCCGAGCATGAGCTGCAGTTTATTTCAATATAACCGGTAAATGTTAAGGAGAAATAAGAGCGAAATGAGGAGAAATAAGAGCAGAGCTGGAAGAAATATCTGGAATAAATGGAAGCGTCGCCGAGCGACGCCACGTCGAGTGGTCGCCATATTGATTCTCGGATGAAAGTGGTGTTTCGAGGTCAATTTTACTCGATATATGGTCTTAGGGGGAAAGAAGAGAAAGCTGGTTTGACAAAAGTAAAGACTTCAAGTGTCAAATAAACATTACCTCATTTACACACCATTAACCTCCTTTAATAAGAAAGAATAAAAGTTTCTCACGACACAAGGAAAGTAAAAAGTGGTGGCACGTTGGGGGGTGAAAAATCGGTCTCTAAAATGTTAAATAGGCGCCTCGGTCGTTAATAAGGGCGAATTAGGAGGCGCCTAACTTTCGGTTAAAGCGTCCCGGGTCAAAGGGAAGATTTTCCAGGCTGTAACGTATCTGCAAACACAATTAAGGGCGCACAACGGCCTCGGAGCGGGTCCCTTGCATTATTCCCATCCTCGCGTTGTTAAATTCCATCGTGGATCGTTTTACGTGCGTAACAAAGGGTAGGAGGGGAGAAGGAAGAATTACGTCGTAACGATCCCCTGCTGAGCAATCCTGGGTGTTTCTTGGATCAAACGAGCCGAACGACCCATATGGCCGCGTGCTCTTCTTCGCCACTTTCAAGGACCGATTGCGGAAAAAAGGTGGAGGGGTATTTTGGAAATATATAGCTACTTGGAAAACGCGGGGGTGAATATACGCAGGGGTGCTCTTCCGACCCGAAACGACCCCTGAGATATACGACCACACTAAACCTGGACCCTCCATACCCCTTCTTCGAGAAAATGGCGGCAGGTCCTCGTGGGATAGAAAGAGAAATGTGAAAATGCGCATTTTCTGCAAACAATTCAATTTTCCTTCGATTCTTCGAGATGTAATAAACTACATTTCATT